TGACAACAACATACACTTGACAATGTAGCTCCTTATTTCCCTGCCTTGCCCCAGTACTGGTAAGCATTGTCCTGCCTCATGTGTTCATTATTCCCTGGATTTCCTTTCTATAGAGTTTTCTTTTACCCAGCCGTATCCTAAAATATATATTTTCAATTCTAGTTGTTTTTTAACTTTATGAAAAGGTTTTCATGTTGATGTAATTCTTCTTACTGACTTGTTTCACTTACTAGTTACTACATTTCTAAGAGTCATCCATACTGCATGTTGCTCAAGTTGATTTGTTTGCAGCACTATTTAAGATCTTCCTGTATGGACACACTTCAGGCTCCTTTTCACTCGATGGTGTTGGGTTAGTTCCTGGGTGATTAAGCACATGTGTCTTGATGCTTTTTAAATGATTCTTACAGTGCAAGGATGTGGGTACAGTGTGGTCACAATTTCTGATTTATGTTATGTTATTTTTAACTTTTATTGATGAGAGAGAGAAAGGAGAGAGATATTTGTTGTTCTACTCATACATGCATTCATTGGTTGATTGCATATATGAGTGGCATATAAGTGGAACATTGGTATGTGCCCTGACCAGGGATCCAACCTGCAAACTTGGTGTATGGGAACAATGCTATAATAACTGAGATACACTGCCAGGACTTACAATTTCTGATTTATTTTTGAGAAAATGTAGATATCAGAATGTTTATATGAAAATAATAGGACGACCAAGTTTTAAGAAATACTTAGTAGACATTTTCTGGATATATCATTCAAGTTAAAATTTCCTCACCTGGATCTAGAAGTCCAGTTACCTTATAGGACACTTAGGAAATCATCCTTCAGCAGCAAGTGTGTGAAACAAGGAAATACTGAGGCAGAAATTTGAATAGGGCTTGCCGTTGAGGTAAACAATGAGGTGAATTGTTGTGATGCATGGGTTCCCCACCCAAAGTAAGGGAAAAGAGATCATCTTTAGAGAGGTAAACTTTAAAAAATGAATTATTTAAACTTTCAAATATTTAATGAAGCTAGTAGAGAAAAAGCAAACTTGTTTTAAAGAGAATAAATGGCTTTCATACCAACAGCCTTTGTAATTTGATGCAATGAATTAATATGTTTAAAGAAGGCATATAACTCAGGGTGGAGATGCTCAGAGAAGACTCCAGAGCCTGTTTTCAGCACTATGCTTGCTTATGACTCCATGGCAGGAGAAAACAAACTCTTCATACCTACCATATATTTAGCTGGTTGGTGGACAGTTATGTACATACATCTGATCCCTTTCTCATTACATCCATCTCTGAGACCTGATTAACCTAAGTCTGCCCTGCTGGCAGGCCATGGATGAGAAGGCTGAGAGCCACTCTCAGGACTTGGTAGAGGCCTAGAAAATGTCATCCTGTATAACTTCTTGGAATCAGCCCCTGCCCTGCTCTTACTGTAACCCTCTCACCCTCACCTGCATTCCTGTGAGCCCCTGTCTTCATGCCTCTCCACTCACCAAGTGCTTACTCAGTGTCAGGCCCTGAGTTAAGTACAGTCTTTGAACTGTGAAGGATCGGCCTTGGTTCGGGCTCAGGAACCCGCTAAGGCAGGGTCTTCTCTAGACCCTGGGAACCTCCTGAATCTCTGTACCTCTGTGTATTTTTCGGGGGCGGGGGAGAGGAGGGGATCTATAGATTCTTCAAGGGTTCTGATGGCTTTGGCCACTATTTGGTGACAAAGTTTAAACCATTGCTTTGGGGAGCACAGTTGGACTTCTTGATTACAGGGTTTCTGTCAAGGAGAAGGCCTATACACCTTGGAGCCAAAGTTGAAGACCTTTAAAGATACAAGAGATTAGAAACTCAGGGACAGAGGGAGGAGAGGCATCTGTGGTTTGGAGGCAGATAAAGAAAGGGATGGTATGTTATTTCCTAATGCACATATACTGTCATGAGTGTAATATTCTTTTGACATTTTTTCAATTCTATTTTTGGCTGATTGCTTCCTTCTTGTGGGAAGTGAGGATGTGGGTAGCTGGGATATTTCCCTGAAGCATATTCAGGGAGATGGAAGGCACTCCATAATGTAGGATATAAATTGCTACGGGATGGTAATAAAGAGTGCCATGCTAATTTTTGCAATTTTAAACCTCGTATCTATTAATGGTTCCTGCAATGCAATTCACTTTAAGTTAGTCCAATTCAATTTACTTCAATAAATAGTAATTGAACACTCCTTATCCACATTATTTCAGCTTTTCTACCGAAAATTGGCAGGGGATTATGGGTTATGAGCTACTAAATGGGGTTGTAGTGCCCACAGGACTGAAAGCAGGCAAACTTTCAGAGTAATACACTGGTATAACTAGGGGAGACTTCACCTGGCTTGCCTGGGACACTTCTGATCTACCCCTGTTGTCCAGTGTTACAAATAGTACTCATTTAGATGACAATTTTTGTAGTCATTCTTTTATCGCCTAACCTTATCTAATCTTATTTACTTCTGTGTTTCTCTTCCCATTGAATGAATGAGCTTCTATGAAGTTAGAGACATGGTCTCATTCATTTCTGTGTCTAACATGTGCCAACTATTTGGGGGACACTTAAAAAACATTTATTAAATTGAATGGAAATTTAGGATGTATGAAAAAGAGCCTTAGAGTGAAAGTGGCCAGTTAGGTTATTTCCTTATACTGCGAAGGTCTAGACTGGAAGCTCAGTTTTGAGTTATGGATGAGCTTTACTTGGTACTTTTTAAAACTAAATGTGTACAGTGCTTGTTGAAGTGCTTTTAAATATTCAATTAATGCTAGCTGTTATCATTGTTAATAGTTGCTAATAATAATGATTATATATAATAATTTTAAATTTTATTTTTTCTTAGCCAGAAAATGAGGATAGTCATTCCTGCTTACTTAATTTTGATAATGAGCATGAAGACATTGAAAACTACAGAGGTTATTATTGCATAGTCTGTGAAAGAATATGTGCTAACAGGAAGGTTTGTGCTATAGAACTAGCATAACTTAGGCAGAATAGAGGGGGCTCAATGGCAATATGAGAAAGCTTTTAAATATTTTTAAAAGATGATAAAATAGCTCAGGTGGATGGGAGAAGTTGATCTATTTTCAAGTGTCAGAACATAAAAAGGCACATGGGAAAAGATGGTAGGATGGACTCAGGACAGACATGGAATTTAGGATTGGGACCCCACACAATGTGGGATTAACAAAGCATTGTTTCAGGCTGGACATCTGGAGAGCAGCGAGTGAGCTTGGGAGAGGATAGACTTTCTATTTTGCAAACTCAGTCAAGAGCTTGTACTTCTGAGTCAATGTGAACATTTTATTAAAGGAAAATCAAATGTGGGCCAAACCCACACAAACCATTGAACACCTGTATGTGTTGCTAATGAGAGGGAGGGGCCTAATTACAAATGAAGCAACTTTCAGCCAAGGATCCCAGAGCCTTTTCTGATAATATAATCTTTATCAAGAAGACAGAGAAGCTGGTGGATTTAAAGTTGCATGTTCTCGCTCCTGTCATCTCAACAGGCAATTCTAACAAGAGCAGAACTATTGACATCAGGAATTCTTAGATCTAAGTGTCAATAAATAAAGCGGTAGAATTTTAGATCTATGCTTTGGGAAATGATAGAATAATAGTAGCAGTAGCAACAGCAGCAACAGTAAATGCTTGCATAGCATTAGCACGTATTAACTAATTTAGGCTTCATAGCAAGGATGGGGAACCTTTTTTTATGCCAAGGGCCATTTGGATATTTATATTATAACATCATTTGTGGGCCACAGAAAATCAACTTAAAATTAGCCTGCTATATTTGGTCAAATATTTAATTAACTCACCCCTAATGCTTTTGTAGGGCCAGATCAAATGATTTTATAGATCTTATACAGCCCTCAGGCTGGGTGTTCCCTACCCCTGCTTTATATCACCCACCACCCCCATTTTATGAATGACAAACTGAGAAATAAAGAGGTTAAATAACTTCTTCAAGATCTCACCCAGTGAGTGGCAGAGTTAGGCTTTGAACCCAGAAAATGTGCTTTTAACTAGGGCTCTCTATTTCTCAATTTGAGCCATTCTAACCAGTATAAAAATGTGCCTATGGCTTCGTGGAATATAGCTGTGAAACTGAGGCTGTAAACTTCAGGGGTGGTTTTCTATTCTGTCCCAGGCTTTACTTGGAAAGAAGAAGTTTGCACAAATTATAAATTATTAGAAGTAAGACTCTTATCCCTTTCATATTTGTATTCTCCAGGGCCCAGAGCAGGTGCCCTATAGGCATCAGTCAAAGTAAACCAAATAGTCTCTATGATTTCCCCCTCTTTCTGTAAAAATTTTTTGGCTATTGAACAGGAGAGGAGCATGTGAACAAATAAAATTCCCAAAGGCAAGGTGGCATTTCACCAAATCCTGACCCAAACTCAAGGTCTGGCTCTAGTCCTTCTTACCCAGTAGGCTGTTGGTTCTAGCCAAAGGAATCACTGGTTGCTGGGGTCACCTAGTACTTCTGTCACTTGTCACATGTTCATATCTCCAAAGGCTGTGGACTATGTTCAAAATTGGAGGCTGAAAGACCTGAGTTTGAATATTGACAGCCAAACTTCTTAGCTATGTGGTCTTGAGCAAGTCATTCTATTTAGCCTCTCTGAGCTCAGCGTCATCACTTATGAAATGAGGATAATAGTCTATTCAGAGAAAGATTGTGAGACTCAAATTAGACAACATAGCACCTAGCACAGTGCTTGGCATAGGGTTGTTGGGTGTTCAAATTGCAGAAACTGGAATTTCCAGTTATATTGCAGCTACCTGTGATCCTATCTCACACCTTGTCAGGGATTCTTCCCCACTCCATCCACCCCTCTCCATGTCCTCCCTTCATCCTGCTTGACTTCTTTACTCTTTGCTCTCAGTTTCATCACCAAAATCCCAACTTGTTTATTTGTTGCTTATTGTGCTTAACCGATATTTGGGTTCCTTTTGGTTCTGCTCCAGGAGATATTCGGCTACCAGACTCACGGCTGCCGGAAAGCCCTCTGCCTCGCTGGATCCATCTTCTCATTTGGGATCCTCCCCTTGGTGTTTTACTGGAAACCTGCTTGGCATGTATGGGCAAATTGTGTCCCATGTTCCTTGCAAGAAGCAGACGTAGTGTTGCTGAGGACAACAGTAAGTGTGTACTTAGTTTTGTACCTGGGGGCCCTTTCTCTTAGACAATGTGTGATGGGATGGGATGTGGAGAGATGTGCACAAAGCAGGTGGCAGGAGGAGTCTCCAGCCTCAGATTCCATCACAGCCTTGCCTTTACATATTCACCAAGAATTCAATAATTTGTATATCGTGGGATTTCACAAGGTATTTCTTTTAAACGTGTGAGCTATATGAATATCAGAGCAGAAAATTACCACGTGAATAGCTAAAAATAATAGGTAATGGTAAGTAGTTAAGTCTGGCTACAACCTACAAAATTCACATTGACCCTTCCCCCACCAACCCCCACATGCTGACATATTCATGCCTATCCCAGCCCTCTCCACTGGGGCGACTCTGAGGAAGCAAGTGAAGAGGTAGGTGGAAGAGGAGGAACACTCCTCTCAGGAGGATTCTATTTTCCCCTGCTCATCTGAGAGAGCCACAATTATTGACTGGAATGTGTTGCTTATGCTTGGGTAAGAAATGCAACCATCTTGTCCCCAAGGTCATTGGCTTTCTCTGCTAACCCAAGGTCCTGGCTTTAAGTGAGTTTTTCTATATTTGCTCCCATAATACTTTCTTCCAGCACTCATTACACTTAGGCAATGTGCACAGTTTCTGCCGGATTGTTAGCTGCATAAAGGAGGGGATCATTTCTAACTCAATTGCTGTATCCCTAATTCCTGCACATATTGGGGATTCCATAAACAAGTGGTGGCTGAAGACTGAAGTGAACATTCCTATTGACAGGCATCAAAGGACAGTCTCAGGGAGAATGAATTTTTTTGCCCAAGTGTCTCAAATAATAATTCAGCCCATATGACTCACAATGACAACCAGATTCTTAATAAATCAACCTCTATTGAGCTGTTAGCTTCTTGTGTATACAGAAATCTCTCTAGTAAACATGATATTTAATGCAGCAAGAGGGGAAGATTGTCTCATAACTGGGCAAAAAAATTCCACATTTTTACCTAACAGAATTGGGACTAGACCTCAGTGAACTTGGCAGTTGGATAAAGTTTGTCTTTGTTGACTTATTCCACTGGCATCAGCCCAACCCCTTGTTTCTGGATCCTGGTTGTTTCAAGAACCACCTGCTCTATGTCCCAGCCTAGTACTTGTGAACCATAATATAAGTGATAACTGAGGCACCTCCTCCCAAGGTCAACTACATTTTAAAGACTTCAGTATTTTAAGAATGCAAGATTAGCCGAAACCAGTTTGTCTTAGTGGATAGAGTGTCAGCCTGCGACTGAAAGGTCCCAGGTTCAATTCCAGTCAAGGGCATGTACCTTGGTTGAGGGCACATCCTCAATAGGGGTTGTGCAGGAGGCAGCTGATCGATGTTTCTCTCTCATGGGTGTTTCTAACTCTCCCTCTTCTTTCCTCTCTGTAAAAAAATCAATAAAATATATATTTTTAAAAAAGAATGCAAGATTATTGTGGAGTAAGAGCAAGTCATATTGATGCGTTTGGGCTGAGGGCCTTACAACCACTGCTGGATCACACTATAATCTTCATGAAAGGTCACAAAATAAGCATAAGGGAAGAGTGCCTGGCACTTACCCTACCAAGGTAGTCTTCATCATTTGACCCGTGAGGAAATGGGACCAGGAGAGGGGATACAATTTACTGCCCGCCTAGGTGAGAGAGGGGCCTAATTAGGATAAATCCCATATATCCTAGCTCTTAGTGCAGAGCTGTTTCTGTGCAATTGTACTTAGACCATTGATTCCCAAACTTCAACCAGCATCAGAATCACCTGGAGGATTTATTAACTGCCCTCCCCATGGAGTTCCTAATTAATTAGATTTGCATTTTTAACATGTTATCAATTGATGCTAATGCTACTGGTAAGACCCTTCTTTGAGAAACACTGCTGTGGATAGTTATAACTATTGCTAATGAGCACACTTGGTCCTTGGGAGAGGAATTGAAGCCTGGACATTTGCTTTATGGTTCAGCCAATATATACTAGTATTTACCTAGTCTCAAGGGGAATAATCCAGATTTAGCTAAGTGTTATAAGTGGTCTTTCTGTACAGAGCCTGGGTGTCTTCCTGGAGCAGAAGTAGATAACAGTTTTCTTTCCATAGCTCCAAGTTGGGACAAAAGAACATATGGAAGACCACATATTTGGGATCTTTTCTTAGATCAACTTCTCCACATGAACTTAAGGACCTATGAGATCCTTATTTGCTGGCATAAAAAGAGTATTTGTAAAAGTACTTATATCTACCCCATAGTACTTCATTTTCTCAGAACTAGTTCACAATGGGTGATGTTTTGCTGCAGCAAAAATATTTTGAGATTCAGAAAAGCTTTCTGCCTCTCAGAGTGCATCACCAGAGTCTTCAGATCTGAGAATGTCTGCTTTGCTGGGTTATATACTCTTTCAGATTGCTGGCAGAGTCTTTAATTAAAATAAGAGGAACTAAACAGAAAATGGCAAGAGAAGGGAGGAAAATGAAAGAAATGGCAAGGAAGTTGGTCAAGTAAAATGAAGAGGGGAAAAAGAGGAAGATCGTGTAAGAGTGAAAAAGAAATAAAAATGTGTCAAGCAAGTTAGTATATTTTTTGATTTATAATCAAAAGTTTTAAAGTTTAGTCTTAGTGCCTTAGGTGTGTTACACCTTAGATTTGTTACCTAACCATTCAAGACCTCAATTTCCCCACTTGTAAAATGGGACTAGTAAAAGTGCCTGTTGTTTTTTGGGACTGTTGTGAGGATGAAGTGAGATTATGTATGTAACAGCCATTCGTAAACTATAAAGTTCATTTAGAAACTTGTGTGTGTGTGTGTGTGTGTGTGTGTGTGTGTGTGTGTGTGTGTGTTACTGTTCAAGCAACTCCATGAGCCTGCTGTACCAAAGAGCTTGTTGTAGACTAGGCACACCCATATACACTGGCCCTGCTCATTGGATGCTGTGTCCTCCCCTAACTAGCGAGAAGGACTGGCATTCTCTTCTAGGATGGGAGACATGGAGAAGGTTTCCTGTGACTGAAAATCCCCAACTCCAATTGACACCCAATCAAATCATCTCTCCCAGTTGCATGTTATCAGCTTTGAATCTGGACCTAGACCAGAAAGTTTAAAAAAGTCATTGGTGCCTCAGAGAGCTGCATTCCATCATCCTGCCTCTTTATTCCCCCCTTTGAAAGTCTACTAAGCCCCTCTACCCTTTCAAGCCTTTCGCAACTAATCAGAATAGTGAAAAACCATTTCAATCTTGCCTTTTTCATCTTAATTTTTAATTACCTGCATTTGTGTATCACTTAAAATGGATTTGAGACTCTCTAAATAAATGGGATTCTAAATTAGATGTTATGTAATTAGACAAGAAATTATTCCTGAGCCTTAGATAAAAATAAGCATTGGGCATCAATAGTTTAAAAGTCTGCTGCCAAGTTATTTGCATTAAAATGACACATTAAAAGAGATTTTATTTGAATTATAGTACAATCACTGGACTATAAAGACTTTCCATTGAGGACTAGATGACTTGAAAATATCTGTTGTATATCTGTTATTTAAGTTATTAAAAATCAGTACTTGATACTTATCATCAATCTCACACTGGTAAGATTATAGATCATTATCACAGATGCTGATTAGGTAGAAATTTAGCACCCTTTTTATTTTCAGTTCCCCTTCTCATATTAAGTGCCTTTATGAGTGCAATTTTTCCAAAAGATAAGAGAATTACACTTTTATTTTATAATTTTAAAAGTGGCATTTTACTCATTATTCATCTACTTTTGAATTTTAACCAATATCCATAATGATGTCATATTTCTATGCAAATAACTGATTTATATTCACTGCCATTTTGAATTCTGATGCGTCTACGATTTCCTTAGTTTTCCTCTCTATTATAACAACAAACACATTTTTCCCTTCACTGTCTTTGAATGTCACATGTTGTCAAAGACTCATGTTGTGCAGAGAAGGACTTAGTGATGATGGGTTATTAGGCCTGACCAAAGGAATTTAATTTCAATGTTTTAATAATAAGCATTTTCTCTTCCATTTCACCTAAAGATGCCAGTGCTTGAGGGCTTTTGTTTGCCAAGCCAGAAATTCTGTGAATCAGCAGTGCAAATGTGATCTAAAGTCCACAAGTCCACCCGGGTATTTACCAGCCACAAGGACTTGTAGTAGTGTTTCCTAGATTTCTTACCTCCTCTCCATTCTCCTCCTCCTCCTCCTCCTCAATACCATTTTCTATCTTTTGTCTACACTTTCACTCATAAAATTTCATCTGATATTCCCTACCTCTTCTATTTGTTCATTCTTATTTATTTATTCAATAAATATTCATTGAGCTCTAATCATCTCAAATATTGCTATAAGCATTGAGAATACAGCTATGAACAAAATAGACAGAAATACCTGTCCTTATAGAGTGACATTCTCACGAGGAGTCAACTCAAGCACACATACATCTGCACATACATGCACACACTCATACACATACATTCTCTTTAGAGTAATGAAGTAGATATTCTATCTCTACTTATTCAACCCTATTCATTCATCTGCCATATACTACCTTCTCTATTAAGTCTTTGTGGATCCATTCTCTGCCCCAATTCTGGAGGAAATTTCATTTGATTTTAGTTCTGTATTTCTATCTCTGACTGCTATAATACTTTTAGCAGTCTACCTTATATTAAAATGGCATTCACTTTACATCTTATAGAAAAGCATCTCATTGAATTCTTATAATAGATAACCCTGGAAAATGGGCACTATCATATCTATTTTACAGATGAGTGAACAAGAAACTTTGCCAAATAGTAAATATTAGTCAAGTGCCTCCCTACCTCCCTTCATATTTTCCTCCCTCCTTCATAAATTTGATGAGCACAGGTTGTGTGCCAACCACAGTGATAGCTCATGGCCAGGGACAGAGGTATAACAATGAGTAAAATCATGGTTTTTGATATAGAGATCACTACACAAATAAATG